TTTTCATTTTCACCTAAACCATGGTGCAAATTGATATAATAAGAAACAGCGCAAATCAAGTCTGCCAGGTCAAAAAAAGGTTTTTTCCTCCGGCAATTTTTCGCTGATTCCTATCACTGAGATAACTTTTTCCGGCTGACGCGGAGATTTTATTTTAACAATATATAAGTCATTAGTCGAGTGTGGAACAGAAAAACTATTCATTTTTTTCTTTTGGAGAGCATTCGCTAATTTTTCCAAATTTTTTTCACTAAAAATAGCGTTTTTTTTTAGAACCACTTGCCCGTTTTTATCCAGCAAGTCCTCTGCTAATTTTTGATCTTTTAATTGTTGAATAATATCTATTCTTTGGTTATATCTTCGGCGTCCCAACTTTCCGATATTAAAATAAGAATTGCCTTTGCTACTAGTAAATAAAAAGTGTGGCAAACCGGTTCGGCCTGCTCCGATTTCTAACTCTTGGGCTTCGGAGTAATTGTCTAGGTTTAGATCTTCCTCGTCAAATAGGATTCGAAGAAGTTCAGGAGAAACGGCAAAAGTTTTTAAGACATCTAGCCAGTCGACCACCAGGCCCGAATTAAGAAATTTTAATTCAATGGCCTGAGCCTTTTTAGCACTGTAAGAAATATTAATTCAGGGTCCTTTGAAAGGGATAATTTCTCCCCAAAAAATTTTTTCTTCCTTTTCCTCAAAATAATAGACCGAAGGGGCACGGACAGACTGAAAAACTACTATCTTGTCATGACCGTTAATAATGAAATTTCCTTGCGGGTTCATTTTTGGCAAATGACAAAATTCGATTTTTTGTTCCTGTTCGCAACGAAAACTGATGGTTATTTGTTCTTCTTCCACTTCTAAGACTTCTAGAAGCAATTCCAACTTTTTCTCAGTTTTTTTACTCTTATTCTCTTTTATTTCTCAAGCTTGATATCGGTTCCCTTTCAACGCCTCTATTTTTTTGGTTAGACGCCAGACAATGGGTTTTTCGGAGTCCCCAGTTGGCTCCTGATTTGTTAATTCTAACTCTTGTAACTGTTTTTGGGTTTGGGTTAACAAAGCTTTTAATTCCTTGGCCGAAAAAGACTTTTTTTCGCTAGAGAATTTTCCAATTTTAAATCCATCTTTTACTCATTGAATGATAGTTTTTTGAAAATCGTTGTCTTTTCATTTCTTACAATTTTTCCATTCTCTACAATGTTCGCTTGAACAAAATTTTTCTTCCCATCCTTTATAAGAATAAAAAATATATTTATCTTTTTCTTTGGCAAATTTTTTTTGGCAACTATGACAATTTAGATTAGGCAACTCTTTCTCTTCTTTCATGTCCTTAACCACCGGTTGAATTTGCATTTTGTGGCAATCTCAAGCCACTTTTCAGTTCACAGAAGCCAGATAACTCCAAGTCCGACCCTCGGCCCGGGCTTGTTCCTCGGTTTCGGTTATTACTTTGCCATTTTTTTCAATTGTAGGTTCTTGATAAATAAGATTCTCAACACTTATTTTAATGTTATTATTATAGTCATTAAACTCAGCCGGAAAATAAAAAGTTAATAATTTTGGCAATCTTTCATGCCGAAAATTATCATAAGATTTTTTTTGTTCGCGGGCGTAATCCCTTTCTGGAAGGCCTTGAAAAAGGGGTGAACGATTGACAGTTAAATACTCCCGACGCGTATTTTTTCCTGAATTAATTAGGCGATATGACATTAATTAAAATTATTTGATTTCGACTATGGCCCCTTTTTCTTTCATTTTCTTTTGGAATGCTTCGGCTTTGTCCCGTGGAATATCTGCTAGAACAATTTTTTCTCCTCCTTCTGCTAGTTTCTTGGCTTGAAGTTTAGTAATTTCTTCTCCTTTTAACTCTTTTACAACCTCTACTATATCTCCTAAAAGTGGCACTATACTTGCTCCTTCCTTTTCCATTTTTACCCATTTAACGGCTACATTACCACCTTTTTCCTCAACTTTTTCGGCGGCTTGGGTTCCGGCTGTCGGCTGAACTATGGCGGTCTCTTGAATATTATAATCGGTTTTTAAACTTTCGACCAACTCGCTAACTTGGCCAATATTTAAACTTTTTATTTTTTCTTTGATTTCGTTTACTTCTGGACTAATTTTTATTTCTGACATATTATTTATTTTCGGTTTGGGATGATTGAATTTTTTCTAAAATATTAACAAGTCTTCGGGTTTGATAATTGAGATAATAACATAAAGTATTTATTAATATTTCTTTGCTGGGTAAATTGGCTCATTTTTCAAGAAGTGTATGGGCGACTAATTTTTGTTCGTAAATGCCACCTTGAAAACGTTTGATGTTGGAATGACGCTTGGCGAACTGATTGAGAATGTTTAAGGGTTTATATTCATCCTCTTGGCAAAAAATAAACGCATTAGCCTGCTTTAATTCCAAGGAATAATCCGAGAGTGCTTTTTCTGCTAAACTATTTTTGTAAACTTTTCAATGACCGCCCACTTTTTTCAAT